AATCTTTACCACTTTTTCTTTCATGGTCCCAAACATCCTATTTGTGACAAGTACTAGATTAGATAAGTTAATTAATTTTATTTCTTTTGATAACAACTATTACACATTCTAATTAAAAAGGTTTTAATTTAAGAAATGATTCTTCTTATTTGCACAGTCTCTCCCTTTTTTTACAATTTTCTCTTCTATTTATATTATTGTTACTACTAAAAAAACAATTAAGGAAAAATAGACTATCGATAGACTATCCTTACAAGGAAAGTTATGGAAAGTCTATTCTAAGCTCTAATTATTGCGTTATTGCTTATGCAACCTCACTAATTGTTTCCAATTTTTAGGATACACAATACACCAGATTACGTACCGTGGCTATGCCTTATACAATTTCCTTGCCAACAATAATTAACTAAAAAATTTCAAAAAATAAACAAAAATAAAAATAAAAAGAACTTTAAGAAAAATTTAAAAAAAAGTAATTATTATGGATTTTTTTTATATAATTATAAAAAAAATTTTTTAAACTTGTTATTTTTTAATTAAAGATTTTATTTTAATATATTAGTATATTTTAATAATATTTTTGAATTCTTATAAGAAAAATAAAAACAATATAAAAAGACTTTAAATAATAAAAAACAAAAAAAAATTGGTTTGTTTAATTTTAAAAAATAATTACTTAAAAAAAATTTTTCAAAAAACAATGATATATTAAAAAAAGTTTTTTTTAAATTCTTATAAAATCATTTTTTATTTTTGTTAACAATTATAATTTATATTGTTAATAAAACATATTATATAAAATAAAATATAATACAATAGTATTTTAAATTATTTAATTATTATTTAATATTAATATTTATTTTTTTAATAAATAAATAAATTATTATTAAATCAAAATTTTAAATATAATACAATATCATGAATAACAAATATCTCAACAATAAAATTTATTTTTATTTTTATACAAAAAAATAAAGATTATTTTTTTTAATTTATACAGTATATATTGTATATTTGCAATATTTATTAATAAATATTCTTGTTATTGTTTTTTATAATACAATTGCTTGATTTATAATAAAAATAATCCAATATAAATTTTCTAAAAAAAAATTAATAAATGAAACTCAAGTATCCATTTAAGTTTTCTTTTAGAAACTTAAATAATAAGACAAAAAATTTTATTTTATATACTTTTTATTATAATTTTAAACCTGTAGGACAATATATTAATATAGAACTGTAGAAAATTTTACGACTTCATAATAATTCCCGGATTTTTAATAATAACTTCAAACGCCCTGCATCCATACGTTCTCTTGTGACATAAGGGTGTCTTGCATTTTTGGCTTAATATAATTCTAGAGGTGCCAATACTATAAACTGATTTAGCCATGTGCATCACTGTGTATTCTCGTGACTCATGATGTTTTCCTGTTACACGGTGGCAAAAAAATTTCACTAGTATATTTATGGGAAAGGTGATATGATAGTAATGAATGTAACTGCGGATCACATAACAAGTATGATAATTGATACTCGACTTTTAGCTAGCCCTGACATTTCATAAATATAAACCCAAAGAATAATTCGAAAAAAACTCTTTCAACCTTACCGAGACGCGACCTTTAATGGTATGTATATTGTGTAGGAAACTTTCGCCGGAAACTGACATGGGAATGTGAATTGCTCAAATCTGTTGAAGTGATAGTTTAATGCTTCGTGATTGAGACGAACGAACGAACCTTTGAAAATAATCTAAATTGTTTGTTTAGACGTTGTTAGCTTTTTTTTAGGTATTGGTCACGTTGAGTCCTAAAGGAGAAATAACAACTTTTCTGATGTTGCAATACACAAAGCTCCGGTCTTTTGACTTTCATGTGCTTCAACCATTTACTTCTTTTTTGTGCATACACTCATCTTCTTGTCTTTAAATTTTAAAGTGTAGTTATCTCTTCGCGCTCTTTTCGAGGGGTACTAAGCGGTCTCACCATTTATCAAGTAAGCAATGTTTATTTGAAAATCTTTATATCTTGTCGCGAGTCAGTATGCTTATTCCTTTTTTTTTTTCCAACTTAGCACACTAAATACACACACAAACACCTCACCTGACAGTGATCTTCTTTACATTGTCTAAGGTATGAATTTCCGGTAGTTTCACTTTGTAGTATCGACAAGTTGAACCCAAGAGCTCGAATAAGGTCTCGGACTTTACTAATTAGAGTGTTATCTACTATCCGGAAGGCGTAATGACATCTCTTGTCCCTGTGCAAATTTCTATGAACCAGGGATTAACAATTTCCCCACTTCATCCTACTGATCCCTTTTTTGGGTCATGGCTCGACACGGTACTCAAGTGCCTTCTTAAACAGCACACCTCCAAACTAACTTCATTTACCGACGAAGTGCAACAACTTTATTTATTGGCACAGTATTTCAATGGGTTTGTTGATGCCCAGATTCTCATTTACAACACAATAGCCAAGGCATTCGAAATGTCTCGATATTTGCCCGGTGCAATCGAAGCTTATGAGAAAATTTTGGTCTTACGACATAATGATTACGAGACGATCATGGCATTGGCAAGGACTCATGGCTTAGAAGCGCACAAGGACGAGTTTGTTAAATACGCTTTTCTATCGGTCAGCATGAATCCCTACAATTGGGATTGGATCTTGCATATAACCGATTTATTATCGAACGGATTCTATACCCTTAATCGAGAGGCTTTATCGATCCTTGATCACGTCGTCAATCAGCTTCCGAACGCCAAGGTCGGTACCGGGGCTGAAGTTTATAACATTCAAAAAATTTATAAGTTTCGTGGTATACTCAAAGAAAAAATTGGCGACAAAGTCGGAATGTGCGCGGATTGTTTAAACATGATCGCAATTGGTTTTGGCGGTAAAACCCTACCAACATTGATTGACGAGTTATTATTATCTCTTGGTTACATCAACTTTAGTATTAGCAATTATCCGACCGTAATGCTGATACCAGAATATGTCACCTCGACATTGCCTGTCATATTGTTTCCTAATTCCAATGGCATTATTCCAGGTCACAATGGATTAACACTCGGGGATATGGTTTATGCTAAAATGGAAATCATAAATGCTCTGCGCATACTGGCATTAGAATTTGAATTAGATCCGCAAATGATTCAAAGTCAGCTGTGGAGCGCGTCTCCTCTTCGATCAATTACCTTGTTAATGCTCTACATAGCAATCGCAATTAATCCATCAGCTCAGCTTTGCCTTCAAATGGCAAAGGTCTTGGTGCACGTTCAGGACATTATCATAGTCAATCAACAAACTTTCGACGGAGCTGAGCTTGCCATAGAGTACCTCAAACTTGGTTTAATTTACGATAAGGAAAATGTTGAAATTCACAGTCACATGGGCGATATCTTCTATCAACAAAGAAATTTTGTTGAGATGTTCAATTGCTACGACCATGTACGACGCATAGATCCTCAGTTCGAATACAAAGATGGGGCAAGAATACGACTTAGAATAGCTGAGGGTTATTCTTACCTGGGTGATTTAGCTAGGATGTCTAATGATCTGAAAAGTGCAGTTTCTCATTATCACACCGCATACATGTTCGCCGATTATAAGAACAATGCATGTTTAGATCATCCTCGTTTCCTGACCACTCTCACTCATAATTTAAACCATATCTGTAATTGGAAAGGGCGGGGTGGCATCGGAGTTCATTGGACAGACATTTTAGGTAACTATCGTACCGAAACTGTTCCCAGTTTAAATATTGGATTTATGAGGATGGTATCAAAAGCTGTTAACAAAGAAATTAAGGATGGTGAAAATTATGGGAAGGGGGTCATTAAAAACTCGGGTGGAATAATACATTTGTTGAGGAACTGGTGTTCCTCTCTTAATGAAAATGACAAGACATTTTTGTACTTTAAAACAATGACGACTCGATGGGCGAATCAAATACCGAAGTTTAAGAATGAAGGTGGCTGGATTATACGGACTGTTCAACATTTAATGCGCAGGATCCAGCTTCGGTGGTATCTAGACAAATATGGAAAAACTTATCAAAGTCCTACTCCCCTACCTAAAATTCAGCCGGATGCGACGGCACGAAGTAAATATCAGCGACCACTAATTCCTGTGGGGCTTCAACGTCCGACTAGCACTTGTGTGCAACCTTTTTATACATTTATCTATGATATGACTCCTCGTCAAGTGCGTTTGATCATACATCGTGAAGCCTTATGCGTTGCCTATGATGGTTGCACAGCATCATGGTTGGATTCATGTGTTCATCCACCGCCGCCACCACCGTGCCCGAAACTTAAAATTGGCTACGTGTCTTCCGATTTAAGAAATCATCCAATGGCCCATTTAATGCAATCTGTATTCTCCTTGCACGATCGAAACATATTTGAAGTATATTGTTATTCACTTGTACCAAGTGATGGTTCTCCGTATCGCGTCAGAATTGAACAAGGTGTTGATGTATTCCGTGAATGTAGTGGGTGGAATACCGAACAAATCGTATCTCAGATTGTAAGCGATGGGATCCATATCCTTATTAACCTTAACGGCTATACTGCCGGGGAGAGGAATCAAATATTCGCTACACGCCCTGCTCCGATACAGGTAGAACACATGGGATTTGCTAGTGCGATGGGGGGAATGTGGACCGACTACAACATTCTTGACAAATTTGTTTGTCCCGAGTCTCAGACCGGTGGTTACAAGTTATTACAAAAATCAACCCTTAGCGATGGTGACTTACCCGGCGAGATGGATCCCGAGGAAGATGATGATTGGACTTATCCGGAAAAGATCTTATATCTGCCTTCTACGTACTTCTTCAATGATCACAAACAAGGATTCCGTGATGACGGAATTCTGAATGGTAGCCCATATAAAGACGATCCTAATATAGTGTGGGCACTAGAAGAGGATCGACGTTGGGAAATGCGTAAAGCTCTTTTTCCTAATCTCCCCGACCATGCAGTATTGTTTGCAAATTTCAATCAACTTTATAAGGTATGATGTGTTATCCGTTTAGTTTAATCAAATTTATTTATATGTATATAATCTTCCATGAATTCTCAACCAGTTTATCAAGATTGACATTTTATACGAGTGATAACTCACATATGCTCGTCCGATGCTTAGATGGAGTTAACCGCGACCTGTTGTCTACTATAATTAGACATTTAATCATAGCTTCTTTTTAATTTAGATTGACCCTGTGACATTTATGACATGGCTTAACATCCTCGAGAAGGTTCCTGAGTCGTATTTGTGGCTGCTAGCGTTTCCCGAAGAAGGCACGAAGAACCTTCAGGAAACCGCTCGAAAGTGGAAAGGAGCGAACATTGCTGATAGACTCATCTTCACGGAAGTTGCCGGAAAAGAGCAACATGTCTTAAGAGGAAGAGTTGCAGACCTTATTTTGGACACTCCTCAGGTCAATGCCCATACGACAGCATGTGATACTCTTTGGTCAGGTACTCCTATGGTCACGCTACCTGGACCTGACCATAAAATGTGCGGAAGAGTCGCCGCTTCAATATGCCTTGCAACTGGACTCGGCGATAAAATGATAGTTACCGATTATCGTGAATACGAAGAGACAGCTATTCGACTTGCAAACTCCGTGTCATATAACTTTTGGCACGGATGTTATGCTGCCGGTTTGCCTGCTCGCAACCACAGGAGTGGTCAGGGAGAATTGGTTGAGTTAAGGAAGCAACTCTTCCTTAATAGAGATAGCATGCGACTTTTTGACACTGAAAAAGCTGTCCGAGATTTGGAGAAAGGCTTCGTCGACGCCTGGATTCGTTGGGTGGACGACAACGAACAAAACATTCACGTTAGTTGAGATGGTAAAGTTGGATCTAATTATTTCTTTCACTGGTGATGCCCCGGAGGTTTATGGACTTATAAACATCACTTGCTGATCCATAATAATATAGGATATCAGGTTTTTCGCGTCATTTTCAGATGTGTCGATATTGCTTGCGGTGGGATAATCGTGTTTGTTTTTTTGTTTTTGTTTCCCTTAAACATTTTTATTTTTTTATTTGCCCTCTTTTTGAAATACATGTAAATAGTTTTCAACTTTCTCAACAGAGAAAAGTCCATCAAAAGTATATAATAATTGTAGAGGTAATTCTGCCATAGGATGAGTAATGTGGAGATGTAAATCCCAAAGTAATGAATCTTTTTTTTAAACATTATTAAAATAGAAGGGATTAAAACGGAGATTGTAGATATTTCATAAAGACATCATGAGTGACGTCATAAAATAAACCAATTCGATCTTGATGATCAACATGTATAAAATGATACTTTATGTGTGGTGAAGTTGTGCTTGAAACATCGATTGTTACGAAAAACTTAAAGAAGCTCCTGGTGCACGGAAATTTCTAATTGGAATTGTAGCAATCGACATAAGATTGCTTTCTAACCTCAATAAGAAATTAATTACGATTATAGCATTACATTTTACACTAAATTTGTATCACAACATTGAGAACTTTTTATTACGCTATTAATGATTACTCGTTATCACATGTGTACTCCCCTGACAAAAGTCACAGGCCGGCGATCAAATTTGGCGGTAATCGGCAGACGAAAGAAATTAGTTAAGACTGATTTTTATCGTAATTGTAAGCTGTATATTGCATAAAATATATATGGTTATAATTCTCAAGGCTTAAATTTTTAAAAAACCGGTTTTTTTATTGTTTGTGTTTATGTTGTTTGCAATGAAACAAAAACAGAAAAATTTATCTAAAAGTGAATAAAGTTTAATAAGATAGTTGGTACCTGAAAGTGTGATGTTTCAATTTTCACTATCACAAGAAAATTTAAATTTCCACTCTCAATAGTTAAGGCTACTTGCTTTAATCAAATACAGTCAAACCTGGATATAACGAACCTGTTGATAATGAAGCTATAATAAAATACTGATTATAACGAATTTTGGAATTTTGAATTTATTCAATATTCATTATAAAAAGAAAATTTTATTATATAAATTTTTAAAAATTCTTTATATTATAGATACAATTTCTAACAATATCATTTTGATATTAAGTTAGTATTAAATTTATTGATAAGCATTTTAATGTAAAGTTTTTATTAAACTTTATTATTTATCAATATATTAAAAATTTTTATAAAAATAAATTAATTCTAATCTATTAAAAATTAAAATGATATATATATGGATAAGTCCTTAAATTATTTAATATATAAAATTTTGCAAATCAATTATGTTCTTTTTGAAAGAACATAATTAATTAATTATTATTTTAATAGAGATATAATTTAAAAAACACTTGAATCAAATGGCCTAAATTACAAAAAACCTTTTTAATAATAAAAAATATTTCAATTATATACTTATTTTTAATTTAAGAACCTATTTTTAGACATATACAAACTTTAAAAACTTTTATGGAAAAGAAAAAAAAAATAAATAACAACTAGTTATTAGCTATATTAAATTCAATATATGTGTTTACTATATAAATGATTGTAATAATAAGATAATATAATTAAAAAAATTGGGTTTTGTAAATACTGAATTCAAGAATTAGCTTGTTATTAAAATATAGATATGGTTAGAGCTTTGAAAAGTATTAAACTAGTATTGAATTGATATTAAAATGGTATCAATCTATAATAAATTTAATATATAGATTATAACTTATTTATATAATTTTATAATAAATTTAAGTATTGAACTGAATCGAAGTGATATTAAAGTGGTATTATTAGGAACTCTAAACATGTATCTATTTATATTAAAATCTTATCTTCAATATAATATAATTATATAATATCAATCTTTTGAAGAAGATAAATTAACTATAGTTTTTTAATATAAATAAAAATTAAGATATTAAAACAAAAAAACAATTTTATTATAAATTTTCTTAAATATATAATACAGTACCAAAGTCAAAATTCAAATTAAAATATTTATTCAAATATATATTTTTAATTAAATTTTTTAAACAAAATCAAATCTTAGTCAATATAATATCTAAAATTTATAATAATAATATTTTAATATCAAGTCAATATTAAGAAGTGGATCCATAGCATAGTGATAAATGCTTCACAGGTCAGATCACAAGATATAGGTTTAAATCTTTCAGAAAAATAATATAAAACCTCTAATTAATTCAAGCAAGTAGGATCTGCATTCATTGACTTAACCAAAAACAACTAATGTTTTCAAGTATAATTATTAATCTATATAAAGATTATAATTTGATTGAATGTCCAAGATTGGATAGAATCATCCTTGACATGACCATGTTACAAAAAGATAATAAGAAGAGTAAATTTCAAAACCAGTAATATGCCTCTAATAATCAGAAGAAATTTATATAACTTAATGAGAATAAATCAAAATTGTTCAAAAAAAAAAAAAACTCTTTCCGTTTTACTCCTGATCGCCTAAAATCCGCAGTAAAACAGCCAAGAGGACGCCCAAAGGCAGGATACAGCCATGACAACCCGCAACAGTAACACCAGGAGTAAGGGCTCGCCCCTACCCAACACCCGGCCACAACAGGCAGCCAAAATAATGCAAAAAACAAAAGCTAAACAACCTGCAGAACGGCCAGTAGCCAAGGGCAGTACCTCAGCCGGCTGGCTACCCACAGCCGAAGATGGAATAGATGCCGCCTTCGACTGGACGGCAGACACTCCTATGGAAACAAAGGAATCCCAACAGGCACCCGCCTCGCCTATCCCGACTACGTTCGAAGAATCAGATGAAGACCCAACGCCCACTGAGCCAGATAGCGAAGTGGAGGAAGAAGAGACGACCGAACTCAAGCCACCCAAACCGCCCAGACAGCCGTACGGACCCCCAACAGACTGACACACCCAGTATGGCCGTTCATGCTTCAAAGCGGCCATCCAGACAGCCAACCTCAATGGCACAATGGAGCAAAAACTCAACACAGTGAA